TTCCTCCTCCACAGGAAGTATAAAACTCTGATCATCATCTTCTCATATTTGGGCACAACATCTCCAACCTAATAGTGAAGTTACTCTCCTGAAAAATTCACCAAGGTCTCTATCATCAAACAGGCAGCTTGACAGCCTTTCACATATAGGTATTAATTCCTTTCTTATTGTCTTGTGACAGGTCCCCCCACCCCAATCCAGTCAGTGAACCACAGCATCCCTAGGTGGTTAGTACATAATCCGGGGCTGGGGATTTAGCTCAGTGGCATAAGCGCCTGCCTTGCAAGTGCACAGTCGTGAGTTTGATCCCTGGTACCGATTTTTAAAAAAAGTGCGTAATCCTCAATAAATAGGACCTACAGTCTCCTTCAGCAAGAAGTGGCTATGTGAAGAGAGAGACCTCTCCATCTGCAGTACCTCATAAAGATATATAGGGATTTGTGTCTCTCAGAGTGAAATTAAGCCAGGGGATTAGGGTATGGCAAGTTGGCTGAGCAAATGCGTGTGACTTATTAATAATGCAAATCCATAAAATGCACAGAAAACAGTTCCCAACAGGAGAATATTATCTTCAGTTCTTCTCTTGAGAACTCAAGCAGGTTTGGATAAGACAGCCTAGACTTTACATCAGCATGAGGAGTGTGATGACTGCCATTAACCTTGTGGCCACTGTGGTCTATTCTCAATCTGCAGAGTGGACTTCTCTGACTATTTTTAATCGGCCTACACTCACTTTACAGAACTGATTTCTTTCCCCCATATTTAATAAATGTAAACCCTCGCTACATTTTGCACTTGCTTTGTGCAATTCTTTTTTGTCAGGACAAGAAGAACCTAGAGGAAAATCTCTTAGAGGAATCTTCAGCACTCTGGAACCCAGTAACAGTCTGGAATCTAGAGAAAAGCAATGACCAGGCTCTTCAGATAGCCTGGTGCTCCCCTCGCAAATCTGTTTCTTAAGGTGTTGTGAAGCGTGTATTTCCTGGATCATCCCAGTGTGGAGGATTAGGTTTAACATGGAAAATCCACCCCAGTACCCCCATTTCCCTGAGCCTTTGAATCCTCTCATCAACAGTAAACCAAAATACCAAACAGAAAACCAGGCATCTCTAACTAATTCACATTCTTTTGATTCATGCTTCTGCCAACCAGTCAAGTAAACTGTTACCACCTACTTTTTTAACTCCACAAGCTGCAATATAAAATTCAGATCTCTACTTACTGAATCTATACTTACAAACTTGGCCTGATCTAGGTGCGTGTTTTTGCCACCATTATCCCACCTCACTCATCTTTTTTGAGACAAGGAGACTCTAAATTTACCATGTAGCCCACAAGGCCCCTAATGATGATGACTTACATAGTGTGACCCATGAGCAGGTCCACTATCATCCCAAATAACCTTTTTTTTTGAGACAGGGTCTCACTACTTAGTTCCAACTAGCCTTAAACTCTCTGTGTTGCCCAGGCTGGCCTTTAACTCCCAGTGATCCTCTTGCCTCAGCCTCCCTAGTACTAGGATTACAGTTGTGCACTACCATTTCCAGCCCCAAAGAACCTCTTGAATTTTCTAATTTTTTTGGACTGGATCTCACTATGTAATGCAATCTGGTCTTGAACTCACTTATGTAACTTATGTAGCCCAGGCTGACCTTCAATTCATTTGCAGTCTTTCTGCCTTAGCCTCCCAAGTGCTGGGATTATAGGTGTGCATCACCGTGCCTAGTGAGTTTTCTAATTCTTATAAGCAGAGGTCTGATGAGTGAGTATGAGAATGGATTTCAATGGTGTGTGACAGCAGCCTGGTGTGGTGCTCATGCCTGTAATCTCAGCACTCAAGAGGCTAAGGCAGGAGGATTACTGAGGATTTGAGCCAGCCTGGGATATATGGTAAATTCAAAACTAGCCTGGACTACATAGTGAGACCCTGCCTCAACAAACAAACAAACAAACAAAACCAAAATCATAGTGCTCTAGCTCACTGCAGGGTTCCTATCTATATCCAGCAGCTGAGGGACCTATTCTGGAAGACTGAAGAGTATACTGCAAGGCTGGAATCTGTGCTGGATGCCAGGAGATGGATGTCCAAAAGTGACAGTAAAGACTAGAACTTTAGAGATAAAGAACCAGAAGTGAGACTCCTTCCTTCTTTCCTTTTTTCTTCCATCCAGGCTACAAGACTACTTGTTGGTGCCACCCACACCCACATTGAGTCTTCCCTCCTAAGTCCATCATCCACACCCAGAACTATGTTAAGCCAATCAGCTGGGTGTTTCTTATCTAAGTAACACCATAATTAACTATCAAAGGGATATATTAGGGTGAAATCACAACACTCCTTTGTCTAGATTCCAGAATAACTATAGAGAGGCTTATTCCTGCCCAATCTTAGCATCATTCCACATCTAATGTGTGTGTATTATGATTTAGATATAAAATGTCCCCAAAGGCTTTATGTATTCAGACACAGGCTTTTGGAAGATGACTGGGTCACGGGGTGCTTTGCATATCAGTGAACTGATCCACTGTTGAGTTCAGTAGCTGAGTGTGCTCTTGTGGGGCTTGGTCAGAAGACGCAGGCTACTGGAGGTGTGACCTAGAAAGTTATAATGCCCTCTTGAATTGCTTTCCTTCTTTCTCTGCTTTTTCACCACTGATGTGAGCAACTTTCCTCCACGAGGCAGGCCCTTCCACCATGCCATTTCTATGTTTGAGCCTGCTAACCTTGGGCTGAAACTTCTAAAACTGATGAGAATAAGCCTCTCCTCCTTTAAGTTGTGTCAGGTGTCTTGTCCTAGCAATGAGAAAGTGACTAAGACAGTGTGATTCCCTCAGTGAGTTTCTCTTGAATGAGGACAACCTTTAGAATAAAGCTCTCATGGAATCTCACCTTGACCTCTTATGTTCCACATCATAAAACTACTAAATATCACCCCGCCTCCCCTCTCACTATATTCCATTTTTGGTGGCTTGCATATGTCTCCCTTGACCTTCAGACAAACTACTTTCAAGATAACAAAGCTTTTATTTCTCATAGGACTTCAGTCTGATGGGCCAGAGTTAGTAACAATGGGTGATTGGTCTACATAACAACCACTCTCAGTCTCTCAGCCTTCTCTTTCTCTCTCCAGTGCTGGGGATGGAACTCAGAGCCTCAGACATGCTAGCAAGTCACACTCCCAGCCCCGTCACTGTCTATTGTGCATTGTCTTCCACGTTGATGTATTGCCATTATGTCATATGCCATAGCCCATAACAGGCAAGAATATTCTTGCTTATTCTGAATACTTGCCTGTGAGCTACCACATCCCTTCTTCACATCAAACAGGGGCTTGGAGTATGCAAACTACATTTGCCGGAACCTGTGTTATGGTTTGGGTCTAGATGTCCCTCAAAGCCTCACGCAGTCATAGATAGGTGGGGATTTCCAGAATGACTGGCTGTAGAGTGTGTGATGCTGGGACTAAGCGTATATGATTACTGAATTGTCAACTGATGGGTTTGGCATAGTGCTGAGGGAGGATAATGGGAGGCCCGCCATGGGTGTAAGAGCTACCTGCCCTATGGCATGTATCCTGGATAAAATATAGGGGACAGAAAGAGGGCTCCTCTGGTCTTGGAGGTGATCACCACTTTGCTGCTTTGGTCCCTTCTGTCATGAACTGTTCTCCTCCTGTGATGCTTCTCTGCCATGCTGCCCTGCCTTGGAGCCAGCTGACTATGGATTAGAACCTCTACATGCTGTGAGCTAAAAATAAACATTTCTTCCTTTAACTTTGGGTATCAGGTATTTTGTCTCAGCAACAAGAAAAGTAACTAAGACACTGTGGCTGGCAGAAAAGACTAGCTGTGTGGTGTTTCTGAATTTGGGGGGGCAGAAGTGACCAGCAAATATGTTCTAAGGCATGTTAAGACTGCAAGTTTCTGCCAGGAACACCATCAGCAGCTCTGGGATCACAGCTTGGGTAACACCTTTGTTCCTCTAGCATCAGTGTAAAGGTAGCTTTTGGCTACCCCACCTCTTTGCTCTTCAACAGCTGTAGCCAGCCCCTTGTATTAAATTCCCTGTTTGAAGCACCCAGGAAGTCTCCATTTTCCCAACTCTGCTCTGGCTGACATTACTCTCAATAGCATAAATATCTTCCTAGGAAACATTCCTTCAGAACTAGAATCCTGGAATCACTTATTTCCCTCAATGGGGCTGGAACCCAGGAGGAATATACTCATTGTGAGGGGGAAAATGGTTCCTGGAAGTCTCAATACTTACTGCTAATGTTCAGATATCACCCTCAAGGCTCATGTGTTGGAAATTTAATCCTCAATGCAACAGTGTTGAGAGGTGGGACCTTTAATAGGTGATCAGTCATGAGGGTCTACCCTCTTGGATCGATTGATGTCATTATTGCAGGAGTGACATCCTTACACAGGACGAGCCTGGTTCCCTTTTCACTCTCCCATGTGTATACTCTCCTGTTCTTTCACTTTCTGCTATGATAAGTCCATGTCAGGTGTGGGTCCCGTGGACTCTGGACTTTCCAGCCCCCAGCACTGTAAGAACTGTACCTCCATTCTTTATCAATCTTGAGTATTCTGTGATAGAAGCACAAAATGGACTGAGACAAGTGGAAAAACCAGCACTTACAGTATCACCTGTTTTAGCCCAGTGGGTAGCACAGGCTGCAATCTCAGTACTTATGGGGCTGAGGCAGGAGGTTGGCTGTGAATGTGAGGCCAGCCTGAGCTACGTAGTGAGTTGGAGACCAGCCTGAATTATATAGCAAGATTCTGTATCAAAAAACAAAAACAATTCCCCTTTCCCCAACCATCTCTTTTAAGTACTGGAGTGAAGCTTTTTTTTTTGAGAGCAAAACCTGGGAGACAGAATGGCAGTTGCCAACCTTTGAGATTAGTGTGGACAGGTGGCTTCTGACAAATGAAGGTTCAGCAAAAAAAACCAAACCAAAACATGACAACTCAGCTCAAGGAACAAACCCAGAAAGTATCTTTGACAACCAGAAAAGCATCTTTAATATGTTGTAGCCATAGGATGGATACAATTGAAAACATACCCTAGATTTGATCCTGCAGGTTGCAGTTACAACACGAGTTGAATTCACAGCCTTGTCGGATCTTTTATGTGAAATTTAGGGCACTGATCTGAAAGGAGTGGGACCCTGAGAATAGAAGGATGTTTGGGTGGACGCGAGCAAATCTGAGAATCCTGAACTGAGGAAGGACAGTGTGAGTATGCAGCCAGATGCTCCAAGAATATCCCAGCTTGTGACCCTAGCTTCCCATGCAATGTAGTTGTCGCCCTGCTGGCGAGGCATTCTCCATCAGCCTACACCTGGCACATGGTCCCACCTCAACCCTCCAAATGAGCAGGAAGTTTTATTGCTTTCTGATGCAACCTGTCACCGAAGTAGACGTAAGACCACAACACACAGGCTTGGCACCATCATCTAGAGAGGGTAGGAATGGGGCTTGGATCCAGGGTCCTCTAGCTGTGTGGCCAAAGATTAGAAACTCCTTCACCCTGACCCACAGTTTCTTCATCTGTTCAACGGGCCCATGATTAGTATCTCAGATCTGCTATGAGAGTTCATGAGATAAGACTGTGAAGGGCTTGGTGACTGTTACCTCCTCCCCTTTTGCTAGGGCAGCCGTCTAAACCTGCAGTGGGAACAAAGAGGAAAATTCCCATTCAAGAGTTCGACATGTTTTGGCAGCCAGGGAGCAGGGATGTAGCCTTTGGCATGGTACACAATCCTGCACTTCTGGGTTTTGAAAACCTGGCCACTGCTCCCTGATGGGCTTGTGTTCAAGCAAGCCTGGGCCTTATCTTTCTGCTCTGAGTCAGAAGTCCCCCAAGGAGAGGCTTTTTAGGGCCAAATGCAGCTCTCATGTTCTAAGTGGCTGACATCACATCAGGGCTGTCCAGGAAACAAGGATGTGGCTACAGGGGTGGGATTGGGTGGAGGGGAAGGGCCAGGGTGTGGTGCCCAGGACAGACCAGACAGACCGAAGAGATATGGTCAGCAAAGTTGCCCAGATTAGGGATGGAATCCTGATGCCACTACTCTGCTGGGTCCCTTAGAACACTGTCCTCCTCTCCTGGAAAGTGGGGTTGCTCTATTCACACAGGTAGTGTTGATGTTCAAAAACAAGACGCTATGTAATCCCAACACAGAGAGAGGTGGAGGCAGGAAGATTGCAAGTTGAAGCCCAGTCTTAGCAACTTACTGAAATCCTGTTTTGAAGTAAAAAAAATTAAAAGGGCCGGCAATGGAGCGCATGATAAGAGTGCCTCTGAGTTCAACCCTAGACCTGTGCTTTTCTTAACCTGTGCAGGAATGGAGTACCCCAGCTGACACCCCTCCTACTGGCAATTTCTTCCTGGAAGACAAGGGTTCTCTGGGCCTCCTCCACCCCATTCCCCCCCCCCCCAAAAAAAAAAAGAGAGAGCAAAGACCATCTACACAACCTATCTTTGCCTTTTCTTATCCCAGGACTCAACTGCCTCATGCTGCCCAACTCTTCATTTAAAAAGATTGGCAACCCATCCAATCCTCATGGGACCACATGCAGGGCCTGGGAGCAGTCTTGCAGTTCCATGCCTTCCACTGAATGCATGTCTTATGGTACGTTTAGAAGCCTGCCAAACAACAAAGGAGGTCTAGAGACTGACATTGGCCCCAATACCACTGTGCAGGTCCTGAGTGGGAAAGGCACATGAGTTACTGCCTTGTAGACTGAGAGGAGAAAGAACCCCAGGGGAGCACCAACCCTGTGGCAACCTGCTGAGGTGGGCATGGGTCCCTGTGCCCCTGGATTCACCAGGGATCTCAGTGACCGGCTTGTCGAAGGACTTGGGATAGGAATAGGGTGAGGTTGGGAACTGAATGGATAGGGTAGCACCAGAGGGGTTCAACTGCACTGTGGCTCCATGGTAGACGGTCATTGCTGCCATCACGATGCCCACTGGGAACCTATGCGAGCCTGGCACAGCTCTGCTGAGCCCTCGGAGTGGGGTTAGTGGTACTTACGAGGAGCTGAGGATGCTTGGGTATGACACAAGCCTGCCAAGGAAGCCCCAGCCACTCATCCTGGGCCAGAGTCCCCCAGGGCTTCCACTACCCCAAGTCTCCTCATTCAAGTAGTTTCATGGGCAGGAAGCCTTTACAGCAAGGCCCCTGCTGTTGGGACAGTGTGGATCTATTTGGGGAAGGAGAGTGGGGCCAGTTGCTGCCTCTGGACCCCACTGTGGGGATCCCTCATGCTGTTGCTGTGAGAACTCCTCTGTGGGCAGGCTGGAGCCCCTGGCCACCTCATCCTATAAGCCCCAGCTCAGTGACTGGGAAAAGGCCAATCTGTGAAGGAACTTGGGAGAGGTGTCCTTAGGAAGGGATGGATTTGAGGCTCCCAACCCAGATGGCCAAGGCAGAGAGGGAAGGTGCAGACTGGCCAGCACCAGCGACTGCTCCAGGGGCTAGAACTTGCTCCCTCTTAACCTGTGCAGGAATGGTGCACCCCAGCTGAGATCCCTCATTCAGGCAATCTCCCTGGAGGTCCAGGGTTCTTGCGTCCTTAAAGAGTACTTGGCAAGCAGCTAAAGATAGCGGAAAAAGTGGGGACACCAGGTTCTCCTGGGACTTTCTGGAGGCTAAACTGGGGAAGGATAGGACAGGGCGAGGGCCCAGAGTGCAGAAGGGGTAGGGATGCTAAGGGCAGTGACTGCTGCTGGCCCACTCCTGCAATTCACAGCAGTGGGGGACGAGGGTTGTGGGCTCTCACATGTGCAGACGCCAACGCTCCTGGTGAAGGTGAGAAGCTGTCTCGCGTATGTGTGTCTGGGATGGGTCCTGTGCTGCTGGGGCTTTTGAAGGAGCTGGAGGTCTCTATACCAAGACTGGAGCAGTAAGAAGAGTGGAAAAGACACCCAAGGCCAGGCCAGCAGAGAGGGGAGTCATCATGGCAACCAAGCTTCCCAGCACCCAGCTGTCTGGAACTTGTGTGTTGGAGGGAGGAGATGGGCTGTTGGCCTCTTGCTGGGGCATCTTAAACTATACCAAAAAACTCCAGAGCCCTAGAAGGGGACTTATTGTTGACTAATACCTTATCCCAAAGGAACCCTGATTCCTGGGTCACCGTCCAGCTCTCCTGAAGAGAACTGGATTTAACCCTTGTAGAGAACGAGGCAAAGAGTTGCAAGCTAAGCCACAACTTGTCCCCAAAGGGAAGCCACTGGGCCCCAGAAAGGAGGGTACCCCAGGGCCAAAAGGTGTATTCAGTGAGCCTCCCTGGGGGTGTCACCAGGAAGGCTGGTATGTGAGGGGCCCTGGGACTTGAGATAGGCCTGGCCACAGCTGGTCACAAAAGAGAACACTCTGGTGTCTACTGGCAGCCAGGAAATCCCTTCCTCTTAGGTAATGATGGTGCTTGTTGGGGGGCTGTATATCTCTCTCCTCCCCCTAGTTTCAAGGTGAGCCCTCTGCAGACAGCCCAGACAGGCAGTGGCAAAAAGGCCAGCGAGGGGTGGGGAACTTGTGATGCCTGTCAGGCTGCAGCCACTCAGGATGTTCCGGGACCTGGCAGAGGGTGGGTAGGGTAGTAGCTCTCAGGGAAGGGGGTGTTTTCTGGCACAGTGGACAGAAGATGAGGGTACCAAGGAGAGGAAGATACCCATTGGCCCAGCCTGTCACACCGTGTCTTGGGTGTATGTGTTGATGTGAACACGTGTGCAGTGGAGCCTGGGCTGGAGTTCCATCACCAGTCCCCTCTCTCACATCAGGGACACTGTCCTCTACTGTGGCTCTGCCACTTGTGCCAGGGCACCAAAGTCTGAGAAAGAGAAGGGGGTAGTGCTGGTGGCAGCTGAGGCTTGGCACTACCACCTTTGGAAGTTGGCACATCAAGTTTTGTGTTGCTCCTCTCATCTTTGGGGAGCATTCTCCTCATCTGCAGAAAGAACACAGCTCCAGGAGATGGTGGCAGGAGTCCCATGCCAGCCTCCTGCTGATCACAGAGCAGGGATCCAGTTGGCCCCCGGCCCTCTTGCACTGCCCACAGAAGGTCTGTGCAAGCTGGGAGGGTCTTTGCAGGTGGGGGCTGTGGGGCCCTTGGCCACCTGGCCTCCCCTTCGCTCAGTCACTGCAGCACCCTGCCTCAGGCAGCCGCCTTCTGGGCCTGGGCTGGATGAGCATCCTTACAAAAATAACTCTGAGCCTGTTCCCAATGGTGGGAGCAGGGTCCTGAGAGCACGCGGCCTGGGGAGCCTGCGTGGAGGGAGGGCCGCAGGGCGCCTGCCCAGCGGTCACGGCTGCAGGCGCTCCAGGTACTGTGGCAGGGGGTTCTCCTTGACGTACTTCTGGATGTACCAGCATGTGAGATGGGCCTTCAGATCCTCCTCCACAACGAAGTCCAGGGCGGCCTGGGGGCCAAGCGCAGAGGGGAGAGCCACTGGTCAGAGCTCCCAGCCTGAGAAGGTGAAAGTGGTGGGCTCCGTCCACGGCCCTCAGGCTCCACTGCCACCCTCCCACTTTGTCCAGGTCCGTGATCCTTGAGTTTCCTTCCTGGTAACCCAGGATGACCCCACAGACTAGTCTGGTCCTGTATGAAAGGACATGAGTCCCACAGGGCCCCAGAAGGCACCACAGGGTGGGTGAAGGAGCCTGATCCAAGCCTAGGGCAGGAAGCAGAGGTTGGGGAACAGAGGCCTTAGTCTGCTCCTGCTATAACTTCCCTTGGGTGCTACCCAGGCAGTCCGGGTCAGGACTCTGAAAATGAGGGACGAAGCAAAGCCCACCATCTCAAGCACCTGCCTATCCGCTCCACAAGGACTTACTGTGCATTGGCTATATTCTGAGTCCTGGGGCCACAGGAGAGGATTAGCCTGTACCAGGGCTCTGCAGATCAGAAGCCTGGGCCCAGATGGGCTGTCTTTTTTCCTGAGAGGATCTAGGGGATGATTTTTGCTGCTCAGCACCTATCCACTGCCCACCATAACCTGCTGACAAGGCCCGCCTGCAAATCTGTGCTTGCCCAAGAAACATACATTTCCACTGAGTGGGATGGTGGTAGCTCCAGGTCCCCTGCCCACTACCCACTCTACCTTGGCAAGGTGTTTGGCAATGCCACGACCACGGTAGGCATCAGGGACTTCTGTGTGCTGCAGGTCCACAATTCGCTTGCCCACATACTCGTACAGCAGGACAGCACGGTCATGGCACCCTGGGAGAGAGGTGGAAATAGATGAGGTTCTGGAGATTCCAGGGTCTGAGGCACGCGGTTGGCCCCAGCAGACTCAGACACTGGGGAGAGGACAGGTGTCTGCGGCCAGGGGATCTAAGCTAAAGTCTGAACAGCCTCTCTGTGCCTTGTCCGTAAAGTGGAGTTTGATTAAACATTCCTCCCGAGGTCACTTGGAGGATTAAATGAGGTAATCTCTGTACAATGCGCAGTGTGTGCCCACAACACTTGAGCCTTTGCTACTGTCTCTCATCTCAGTATCACAGGGACCACCCCACCCTTTTGCCCTGTGCTTTGTGCCCCACCTTAGGCACCTCCCAGGGAGTAGGAGTCTCAAGGTTCAGCAGTGGACCCGGAGGCCCAGCAAATCCACCACCAAGGCAGAGAAACAAGACAGGAGCTGCCACCAGGTACAGCAGAATGACTCACTGGACTCTGGCAGAGATGTAGCAAAAAAAAAAAGCTCAGATGACAGGCACAACTGTAGCTGGGCTCAGGAATCAGGAATACACAGGTTTTCCTGCCCTCCTAAACCTGCCAGGAAAAGAGCCGAGCTCCCAAGCTCCCACTGGAAAGCACTTAACTGAAGCCTCTGCAATCACCCCTTTTAGTTCCATCTGTCTATCCATTCATCCATTTACTCACTCATCCATCTGCCTATCCACTCACTCACCTCTTCACCTATCCATCTACCTACCCCCCCAGCCACTCGTCTACTCACCTGTTCACTCACCCATCCGTGCATCGACTCATCCAGCCATCCACCCACACATTCACCCACTGTTTTTGGAGCCCCAGGCCCTGTTTAAGGTGCTGTGCACATAGCAGTGAACAAGACAGACAAAGACATCTGACCTCATGAAACTGACTGGAAGGAGAAAAATAAACAAGAGCAAGGGAATATATGGCGTGGGAGGGGATAGGCAAGGGGTGTGAAACACACTGGGTGGGAGAGAGTGTTCTAGGAGAGAAGGCGGCCAGCACACAGGCTCTGAAGCAGGCATGGGCCTGTAAGAAGCACGGCCAGGACACCTAGGTGGCGGGAGGGCAGGGGGAAGGGGCGGAGATGAAGGCCAGGAGGTCAGTGGACCGGTTCTGCAGAACCTTCTAAGCCGCTGTGAGCCACAAGAGGGGACTCAGCAGAGAACAGATGGGGGTGACTCATGACTTCACCGAGTCCCTCTGGCCACCATGGGGGAACAGGTAGGGGCAGGAGCAGTGGAGTGCTGATGGAGACAGAATGGGTAAGGGAAGAGGCAGATTATGAGGCTGTGTTGAAGGTGTGTTGGCAGGATTTGCTGATGGTTTGAATATGGTCAATCAGAGGGAGGAACACCAAGAGTAAACTCAAGGTGTCTAATTTCAAAGAGCTGAATGTACATATATGAATTCAATAAATAAGCAGGGTCCGGGGAGAGAGAGGGCCGTTAGGCCATGTGCAGCGGCAGTGGTGGCAGGGGGTGGCTCAGAGCTGAGAGGGGAAGCTGCCGAGGTACGAGCAGAGGAAGGACGGGCAGAGGGCAATGCAGTGCTAAGCTCCCAAGGTTGGAAGATACAATTCCCTGGGTTTAAAAGAAGACATGACACTGTCTTCCTCTACTTTTTAAAAGCAAAGTGTATCTCATGTAAAAAGCAAATGGTGTTTCACATGATATGAAGTACCAGCTTCTTCCTCCTTCATGCTGTTGAGGATCAGACTGTACTAGATTTCCCAAGAGGCAGATGGACTCACGGGGAGATCAAATGACCAGCCCGAGTCACACAGCAAATCAGAAACCAGCACAGGACCCATCCTCAGTTAAGAGGCTTTCTGGTGCCCAAGACCCCTGAGTCTCCTCCGACCTTCCAGTGAGAAGCCACAATTCAGTTCCCAATCTTCAGATGAGGAGACTGAGCCCGCAGAGATCCAAGCACAGCCACACAGCGAGTTTCAGACCTCCAGTTCCCAGGCTGTTCATTCTTTCTGCTCCATCTAATGTGTTCTCTACTTCGGCCCTCAGTCTTTGTCTGGGCAGCTCTCTCAGCCTCCACTGCCTTTCTCTTCTCTGCATGATCAATTCAGCAGATGGTGACCCCTGATCTGCCTCCCCCTGGCCTCCAGAGCCCAGCAATGGTGACCACCATCCTGTTGTAGCCCCCAAAGGCAACTCACTGTACACCGTTGGGTTTAAACTGGCTCGCCCAGGAGGGTCAGTGAGATGGGGATACTATTTGGGGACTTATGTAGTCACTGAAGGAGATGCCAGCCAACCCTGATCATTTCATTTCCCTCACCTCACCAAAGGCCTACTCTGTTTTGGCAATGGTCTGGGGTGCAGGGCAGGAAGCAACCCACAAAACTGAGGAAACGCTCCTCTGTGGAGAGATGGCTTCAGCAGGACAGTGAACAACATTATACATGACAGGCACCTATGTGCTCTTAAAGACAAAAAAACAGAGAAAGGTATCATTCCCTCCTTCAAGTGCAGTAGCTTCTGGGGCTGTGACGAGCCCTGGGTACCTCATGGATTCTCTGTCTCCCCACTGATTGCTGGTGGTCACCTGGGCTCAGTCATCGCCCTATCCTGAGCACAAGCCCAAGTTACACACCCAAGAAATGTCTGACCCACAAAAGACTGTTCTCCCTAGCAGACCCACACTGGCACTCCAGGAAGACCTGTGGGCTACAGCCGTGCCAGCGGCAGGCCTTCCTGTCTGGCTCTCTCACTGATCTGACCTGTGACAGGCCCGAGGGCACAGCTTCCAGATATGCCTGAACTCTGGCCTTCCTAACCCGCCAGCAGTCTCCTGGTTTCCCACAACAGCACAGAGTTCCTGCCATCTGGCATTGGCCTTCCTAGGGCCTCTCAGGTCACCCAAGTGTCACTTAACTAAATATTTCTCCAAACACCTGCTGCCCCTCACAGGACAGCAGGATGAGGGACAGCACCGACAGCCAGGCTCTCACCTCCTGTGTCCACCCCCACCGGCCCCGGGGCAGCTGAGCCCTCGATACTATCTTGGCTCCAGGGACACAAGCATAGCCCCAGGGCCTGTCCTGGCTCAGGCCTTAGATGGGCTCAAACGGGCAGAACTTGTCTCCTGGGAGTCTGGAAACAAGCCTGGGCTAAGGCTGCAGCTCTGCCAGGTGCCCCAGAGACCACACCTGTGCTGTCCTGGGACCATCCTTCCACATGTCACTTTCCTGGGCCTGTGAATCACATCAGGATCACGGACTGTAACTAGTTCTGTGAGAAGCTGTCTGTCCAACCCAGGGCCCTACACACCCCACAACCACAGGAGGGCCCTGGGGCAGGTGGTCACAAGGACAAAATCTGGAAAGCGCAGGGGGGCTGGTGGATGGAGATGGGGAATCTCCGTGAAGGTTGGTCACTTTCACCATTGCGCTGGCCCCACACTGGCCCCAGAAGGTAGGCTGGCAGATCAAAACACCACTGAACAGATGGGGAGACCGAGGCAGAAAGGAGTGGTGACAGGTCCCAGTGGCATGGCTTGGAAAGGGGCCAGAAGTTAAGAGGCTCAGGCAGTGGGAGCTGAGAGCCTGAAGAAGGTTCACCAGGGTCACTTCCCTCCTCAGAAAACCCAGAGTCCGGCACAGCCAGGAGGCACGCAGGGGCGGATCTGCCAGTTCTGCCACTCTTTCTGCTCAAGACACTGGCTCTGGGTAGGCAACACAGATGCCACAGGGCACAGGGACACATTGGTGCTGGGAATAGTGAGTCTTTAGGGGCTACCCACAGGCTGGGATCTGACCCACATGAGGCTACTGGCTACACTCAAGTCTTGTTGCCTCCAGGGTCTAGAGCAGGCCAAAGGTAGCTGCTGGCCCCCTCGAGGGCCTCAGTCTTTCTATCTGCAAAGTGGGGGCTGGGAAGGGTGTGGGAAATGCCAAAATGTTGGGACCCAAGTAACTTCTAACAGCTGAGGTCGGGGAGGAAGCAGGCCGAGGAAGGGGCTGCTGTTGAGCAGGGGAATTTTTTCAAGTTTTCTCCAACTTCTAGATGACAGTATTCTGGGAGAGGCTGGGGCCTCCCTCTGGCTTAGCTGTTCAGCAGCCACGGGCCTCAGTTTCCCTACCTATAAAATGGTGACAAACTAGCACTTCAAAACCCAGCTTTTGGGTCACACCCGCTTGAACTTGAGCCTGCTCTCACATCTGTGTTGGCAAGTCCTGTCCAAACCTGCTTCCACATTGTCCTGGACCTCGATGCTTCTCCCGCCCTTGCTCACACACCACTGTGTTCTGTCCCCACAGTTTGCCTCCGTAGCACAGCCGGGGGCACCCTGGGCCATTGCATCTATCGCATTTACTCTGCTGAGTACCTTTTCAGGTGTGTGCCTTGTTCAGAGTCAAAGTCAGATCACACAAGTCCACACTGCCAGGCCCCGCACCACCTCTCTCCTGGGTCCTCAATCTCATGCGACTCCCCTCCCCTAGAACACATCTTGCAGCCGTAGCTGTTTCTCGCCTTCTCCAGGTCTTCACTTAAATGCCACCTTCTTTGAGGATTCTGGACACTCAAAGAGTCCTAACTCATCTCTCACCAATCTTTGTTTTCTTGGATACTTTACAATGTATTTTTGTCTGTTTCACTTTTACACAAACTGCCTTGAGTCTGTAGCACCTTGAGAAGTGCTGGCACACAGCATGTGCTCAACATATACTTGTGGACTGATTCCTACCTCTTCTACCTTGTAAGGCATTTCACTCCCTTGTGCAGAGACCTCTTCTGCAGATAAAGGAGTACTTTTCACCTCCTTGCTTGGTGCAACTGACTCCACATGCCTCCTAGAAGATACTAAGTGCTTAATAACTGCGGTTTCTTCTGGTGCTCACATCTTTCCTCCCTCAGGACCTAAGTTTCCCCAAGTCAGCCTAGCTCTGCCACAGGGACGGTCAAGATACATGCCTGCATGGGACACCAGGGATGGTATACTCCTGCCCAGACTCAGCATTCACATTCATGGCGGGTGCAGTGACATCAGCTTCTGGGCTTCCTCAAAGGCCTGAGATCTCATGAATACCCGTTTCCCTCCTAGCTCAGCAGGCCTGGGCTGGATGCACCTTCCCTTCCCAGATCCAGCCCAATCCCAATACCTGGAGAAGACTTGGGTAGCAGGGAGCCTGGTGGAGAGGAGCAGCCACCTCTAGCCTCTCTCCTCTCACCTGGCCTTGGCTGGAAGGATCCCTGGCCATTTTTGTATAAGCCAAATACAGTGGGTTCTGGAAGGGAGCGAATCTAAGAATATGGTCTGGGCACAGCCAGGTCTGGAGGATTGTCCTTTAGCTCTATCTATTTGGAAGTAAAAACTTCTCCCAAACTCTAAGCATTCCCTTTTTCTTCTGGGAGCCTAATGTGCCTTTTGAGCACCAGAAGAAACTGAGCCTCCATGGAATGCAGAAACCTCAGAAGAGCACCTGAGAAGTTAGGAGACATCTCTGCACGAGAATGGCCAGGGCCCTGAGTGTCACCGGGGCACTGCCAGCACCACCGCAGGACTTGCTTCTGTGAGGGAAGAATGCAGGGCTGGGTAGGCTAGGCCCAGGTTTCAGTTCTGACTGTGGCCCTTGGTGATACCCAGCACGTCACTTCCTGTAGCCCTAGCCTCAGCTTACTCACCTGTAATCTAGGCTGTTGTGTCACAACACCTCACTGGGACATTGTGACAGCCAGACAAGTGTACCTGTGAAGACATGGAAGTGGGGCCTAGGATGCCCAGGGTCCCAAAGAGGAGTTCCAGGCCCTTCTGACTATGACCAATTGAGGGTCACAGGAACTGGTTCAGGAAGTCAGAACCAGCAGGATGCTATCTCAGCTCTGCTCTAACTCACCCGCTGACCTCAGACAAGCCTCTCCCTTTCCTCGACCTCTACCTTTCCTTCTTGGAAATGGGGGGAAATGGGCACCTTAGCCTCTAAGAGCTTTGAACACTCCCAGAAGGGTGGGGGGTGTGGGCTGGTAAAAACTTCTCTACAGGAAATAAAGACTTGAGATTGCTTTCTAGTTTTAAAAGTACCGATCAGTCTATGTTTGTCAGCACTTAATTTGCACCAAACAAGCAGCTACACTCACGTTTATCACAGGTTTCTTTCTCACGCCAATGTGGTCTGGGCGGGTGCTATCTCCACTGCAGATAGAGAAACCGAGGCACATGGAGATGCCGCAAACTGGCCAAAGTCTCAGAGCCATCTACCCTGCCTCCCAAACACGGCGGGCAGAAGCCTCTCTCGCTGTCAGCCAGGGCCCACCCGCGGGTTTTTCCCAGTGCCTCTGGAGTGGAAGCGCTACGTTTCCCAGGCACCCGGGGAACAGGCAGGTCAGGGCCGATCAGCTCTCCAGGATCTCCAGCAGCGGCCCCAGCAGGTGCGCGTCCCCGGGGGCGGTCGCGCCTCTGCCTCTCCCACAGCCCCCCCCACCCCGCGCGCCCCGGGCTCTGCGCCCGCCGCCTCCCCCGGGACGCCCGCCCAGCTCCGCCCGGCCGCGCCCCCACCTGGCCCGCTCGCAACCCGCAGCTCCGGGGGCCAGAGGAGGCGGCCTGTGGTCGCGCAGTCCCCGCGGGCTGGGCTGAAGGCGCTCGGCGGCCCCCGGGCTGGGGTCGCCTCAGCGGGCCCCAAGCGCTCGCAAACAAAAGGCGGGGCGGACGGGCACCGCGTTACCGTTGAGCCGGACGGTGAACTGGCGGCGCCGGCGGTCGTGCTCCACGCGGATGGGGCAGCCCTGCTCCAGCGCTCCCAGCGGCACGGCCGCCGCCGAGTGCGCCATGGCGAGGGCTGCGGCCGCGGGGACAGAGCAGAGCGCGAGCGGCCGGGCTGGGCCGGAGAACGCAGGCGGCGGCACAGAAACTGACACTCGGCGGCGGCGCGGCGGCAGCAACAAAAAGGGGGGGGGGAGCCAGGAAATCAGCTGTGAGTCACGTGCAGCGCGCGGCCAATGAGCCGGCACCCTTTTTGTTTTGATACATTCCATTCGGCTCTTAAAGAGCCCGCACGCTTCGCTGGCGCGGTTCCGCTGGCTGCTGCAACAAAACAACGTGGCCCCTTTGCGCCCAAGGCTGCTTTACCCTCCTACGTTTGCCCATGAGCTCCTCGGGGACTGACTATCTCACGGAGCTTTCTTAAAAAGATGTAACAGCCTATAGGGAGCGTCTTACTGTCCCCACGACAGCTCATTTATGAAGCACTTGCTGTGTGCGTGGCCTGTGTAGAGCCAACCCCTGTTATCGAGGAAGCGCTCAGTAAGACATTTTACACTTGATGAAAATTCTCACAAGAGAAATAGGATTGTGCAGATGGGCACATCAAAGCTCAGGGCAAAGAGAGTTCAGTGCCACAAGAAGCTGGTACCCAGGGTGGTGGGGTGGGGATTGGGTTGGGCGTCCATCTACCTGTCAACAGCTGTGGCTACTGGGGAGACATTGGCCCTGGAAGGTTTATTGGGGAGAGAGGTGAAATACCACCTCATCACAAGAGAGGCCAAAGCCCAAGATCTCTGGGGATCTCTGGCCTGTACACATGGGGAGGAAAGATGTCTTTTCTGAGTTCCAGAAAAGGGCGGTGACTTGCTTTTGGACACAGGATTCTTGGGCCCAGACTTCCTACAAAGGGGTCTTAACTAGGTCCCTCAGGCATGACCTCAGATTCACACCCTACTCTCTTCCTCCGGCCCAAAGTTTTGTCCCTCCCACCCATAGCTGCCTGCTGAATCACAGGACTGCAGGCTACCCTTACAATTTCTTAATGACTTGTAAACTGGATGCTCATAGCCATGTGACTACCTCCCCAAAGGAGCTAGGGTAGCTTTGGGAGATACAGGCTTCTGAGGTCTGCAAGTCCCTTTCCCGTCTGTGCTAACATTTTGTGGATGCCATTATCACTGATTTTCAGCATGAGTGGCTAAATAGCTTTTTCTAGACATTCTACATGGAATCAAAACATACATACTCTGTGTGTGTTGTGTGTGGGGTACTAGGGATTGAACTCCAGGATTTTCACACTAGGCTGTATCCTGAACCCTTTTAAATTTAAATTTTAAAGTTATTAGAAAGGCTGTGCTAAATTGTCCAGGCTAAGCTCCCACTTGGGATTGTCCTGTCACACGCTGGGTCTGAGGGTCCCCAAGACTAAAACAAGGACTTAAGCTCACTCCTGTAACATTAAGACAGCAGGCTCACCAACACCCTGAATACACCAGGAAATGAGAGGTGAGAAGGATTTGTCAGAGGAAGATACAGGTCCCCCTTGAGGTCCCAGTGCGGGTGCTCAGAGAAAGGAGACTCGATACAGTTGGGAACTGGGAATCCTTTATGTGTTTTGGGAGGTGGACATCTGTGGAATGTGATAATCTAGTCTTAGTCTAGTCTTAGTCATAGTCTTTGATAGTGGGAGAAGTAGGCCCTCCCTTGGCTAGCTTTTCCTAGGGAGAGTGCAAAAGGGCTTCCCTTCATAGGTGTAAGAGGGCCCTTTGCAAGTAAAAGGGAATGGACAGACCTGTTTAAAGCTGGAAGATTTGCTGTTTTGGGAGAAGGAAAAGGAGTAAATAAACTGGGCTTGTAGTCTGAAACTGCAATTTTTCCCTAAAATACAATTTTAAAGTTTTTGATTTTCTTCTTTTTACCTATTTCTTCTATCCTACCTCACGCCTGCCTCAGCTCTTCAGTGCTGGGATTGCAGGTGTGTACCGCCACAGCAAAATCTTAATCTTTTTGCTTCTAGCCATTTTTCTTAAACCATATTTATTTCTATTTATTTATTTATGCTGGGGATTGAACTCATGGTCTTGCACTTGTCAGGCAGGCACTTATGCCACTGAGCTGAACCCTCAGTTCTCTAGCTGTTTTTCTTTTGGGATTTTTTGAGACGAGGTCTCCTTAGATAGCTCAAATTGGCCTTGAATTCCCTGTGTAGTCCAGGCTGGCCTTGAACTAGTGGAGAGCTCGTGCCTCAGTTTCCTGAGTGCTGAGATTACAGGCATGTACTACCATGCCCAGCCTGTTTCTAGCCATTCTGAGGTATGTGAAGAGCTGTCTTTCTGTGGTTTTGATTACCTGATGGCTGACTGCTTTGAGCCTTCTTTTGTATGCTCCTTAGCTATTTGGATATCCATTTTTGTGAACACTTCTGCCCACTGATTTTTTTTAAAATTTTATTTTGAGACAAGATCTCACTAGGTTTCCCAGGCTGGCCTTGAACTCATAATCGTACTGCCTCAGCTTCAAGAGTACCTGGGATTACAGGTATGCACCCAGTTCTATTAATGGTTTTTGACTTAGTGGAGTTCTTTTTATTGTTTAGCTATTGTTTTTATCTTTTTATTGTTTTATTAGGAGTCCTTGGTGAAATATACTAACTGAGATTAATGTCTCCTAGAAGATAATTTATTAGGGAGTTGGAAACAAGACTGGGGTGAGCCTTTACAGACAAGGAGGCGGAAGGTCAGAGAGAGGCTTGACCTTTGCTGAGTCACAGCTGCGTGTGCTCCTGAGCAAAGGAGATAAGCCTTCCTGCCATGGTGTCTGTCTCAGGTGACTCTCTGTCACCCAAGAATTTAAGTAAATGGGGAGGCCAGAACATGTTCCTTGAAATTTCATGAACAGGCCATGTCATTTTCCAGCTCTGGGGCTTTGCATATGCTAGTCCCCAGATGTAACCTCTTTTGTCTCTAGTCACACTTATTTACATAGTATCTGTCTCATGGTACCCCAGACCAATGGGACATTCCTCTCTAATGAGTCCTTGCAGGGCCCTGTACATGCCCAGCCCAAATAAGAGCCAAGCTCCTCCTCATTTTAGTGTCCCTTATAGTTTGCTGAGGTATTTAAATCTTACAAAAGCTTGGAACAAATAAAATAATAAAATGAGCAATTAATATTTCCTGGAACTGGCAAATGAAAATATGCTGAAAGCTCCCAGATATGGGTCAGCAGAGAGTTCTTATGAATGATTTGAAGGAGGTAAAGAATGGGTCAGGTGACATGGGGGAGAGCACTTCAGGCAGAGAGAACAGAATGGTGCAAAGCCCCTGGGGTATGTTTAAAAAATACCAGGAGGCCACTGTTGCTGGGACAGGAGCATCTGGGGGAGGTGGAATGGGGACAGGAGGTAGAGTAGCAAATTGAGGGGCCTTTGGCTTTGACTGAGCCGAGAGGAAACTGTGAGAGGACTCTGGGGACATCGTCTTTGCTGTTGTGTTGTTTTTAATTTTTAAAAATTTCAAACCTGTAAATGGGAGAGTAAAATGAAGTCTGAAGTATGTCTGATACTTTTCAGTTAACAAATGTTAAAGGAATGTTTACATGCAATAAAACATTTCTTTTTTCACCTATTGTTCTGTAAATTTGGACAGACATCTGCCCATTGAATGACCTACCAATACACAGCCAGCCACAATGGGAACAGGGCCCTTGAGTTCCTTTCAGCCCCTGCCTACGCACCGAGCCTGTTCTCTGTCCCTGTCTTTTTGCTCAAGGAACTCTGTAGTATGTGGTCTTTGGGCCTGGCTTCTGTCCCTTTGCATCGTGCCTCTGTGGTTCTCCCAGGAAAATGTGCAGCTCTGTTCTCTGTCCCTTTTCATGGCTGCATAGGATTCCAGAAAATGCTGAAATGGCCTTGTTTTTTTTTTTTTTTTAAGTGTATGTTTGCAGTATGTAATGATTCCAATTATTATGAGGAGGCACACATCTGATTTTTGTTTTTGGTTTTCTTCCTTTTCCATCCTTTCCTGCTCCGTCCAATTCTTGTTCCCCTTCTCATTTGCAAACACTCCATTTCCATTTTTTCTTCTTTTTTTTAAATTTTATTTTGAAAGTGGTAAAATACAACAGAACAAGACACAATAAAGCCAACTAAGATCATACAGTGAAATTGGTACAGAACTTCACAGCAGGTTACTGGGATAACAGTAATAGGTATCACAGTATATTTCATCATCTTTATAATAGTTGTTCTTTCAATCACATATATCAAAATAAAATGAAATACAGAACATTATAGAACTTATCAAAATAGAATATTGAATAGAGCAGTACCGTTAATCAGAATAGAGCAAAACAGTAATAAAAATATTTGCCTTCAAAGAGATGGTAGAAGGAAGTCCTCCTTATTTGCTATGATCAATCTCCCAGGAGATGCTCAGATTTCTGGTTCCCATTTGCTAACGGGGGGCAGGAGAAGGGGGATAGGGGAAGTGGGATGTTTGACTCTAGGCGGTGCACCAGGAGGTTCACTATTGCTTAGCAGGGAGGCAGGCTGGTTGCTTTGTTTCCCAGCTTCGTAAGTTCCAACATGGCGCGGATCTCAGGAGACACTGGTGGTTCTCCCCCTGGAAGGGCCGCAGTCTGCCACACCACAGCTGCTTACCAGGGAGGGGAGGTCTTTGCTTCGTTTTTAAAAAGTCCCCTTTACTTTTCTTTCTTCCCTCTCCCATCTCTTGATCACCTTATTATTTGAAAAATATCTTCCTACCTTCTATAATCTATCTTTTATTTTGTTTATTACTTATACTTTGGGTTCCTCATATAATAAAAGCTATTGATAGTATTATGATCTTGAGATACATCCATTTTCCTACAAATGCTTGAAGTTTACCCTTTATGGCAGAATAGCATTCTGCTGTATGTATATATATATATATATACCGTGTTTTCTTTATCTGTTTATCTGTTGATGGGTATTAGCTGTCATAAATTGTGCTGCTGTAAACATGAATATGCATGTATCACTTATGATGACTTTAACTTTTTCAGGAGGATACCTCAAGAGGAATAACTGGGGCAAATGGAATTTCTAGTGTTCATTTTTTGAGCAGTTTCCATACTGATCTCCACAGTGCTAGTTTATGTTTTCACCAACAATGTAGAAAGGTTTCTTTTGTCC